GAAGGAAGGAAGGAAGGAAGGAAGGAAGGAAGGAAGGAAGGAAGGAAGGAAATAGGGAAGGAGCAGGAGAGACGGGGCCGCAGGCAGAGTGCAGGTGCAGAGCAGCGCAGGCAGCAAGCAGCAGGCAAACTCAGGCGGGGGCAAGGGGGGAGCAGCAGGAAGCCTGTCTCGGGAAGCAGCCTTGAGCGGGAGAAAACCACAGCCAGGCGGGGCTCTGTCCACACAGCATGCCGAACCACAAGCTGGCCAGGCTCCCTGGAACCCCGTGCGCAGTGCGGGCTCAGCCCTGGGACTTGTCCAGCGGTTGGGGGAACCCAGAAAAGCCGGTTCACTGAGAAAGCCGCTGCTCCCTTGACCCAGGGCGAGCGTCCTGTGTGAACGTGCCCCGGGAGTCCCAGACCGCAACTGCCTTCAGCGAACTCGCTCAAAGAGCCGAGGGAAGACAAGACATCGCGGTCCTCCCCCATGGGGGCAGCAGCATTTTCTCGGCTGCCTTGGGAAGCCGCCAGCCCCTCCCCCAAGCTTCTCTTGGGGCCACAGCAAGAAGCCCCCAAACGCTTGCTGGGGGAGGCAGTTCCCGAATCCGCCCTCAGGCTCTTCCTCTGCAGGGGTGGCGGCTCTTGCGAGCTGACGTGCTACCTGCAGCTTCTATGCCTGCCCTCGCCAGAGACGCCAGCACTTGGGCCTTGGGGCTTCTATGTCCCCTTCCAGAGGGCCCTTGGGAAGCCGCACCTGGCCACAAACTGGTCTCCCACCCCCGCACCAGCTGAAGGGACGTTGCACCATTGTTTCGGATGGGCGGGCTGGTCCATCCCCAGCGCTCCTTCATCCGGGCACCGGGATGCTGTGACCAGCCCTTTTGGATGCTGGGAGGGCTGCCAGATTACCTGGGGTGATGCCACCAGATCTCTGCTTCTGGAGTTTTTCCTTCTCCTTCTTGGGCTTTGCAAGATTAATCCGTAACTTCAGGCTGCCCTTGTTGCTGCTCACGGGAGCCTCCTGGCTAGTGACCTGCAAGGAGGATAAACTGCTGCTGGAGGGCTGGGGACCCACCATTGTCCGCCTCTGCCCAGCTCCCCTTCCAGGCTCCACCAGGGCACCTCAGTCTACAGAGGCGAGGCGGCAACAGCAGGTCTGACCCAGCTGCCTTCCCTCCTGGCTGGGTCGACCATCCAGCACATCCCTGCCGCCCAGCCTTCCCAACCAGGCAGCCTCCACTGACTGGGAGCTCAGAAGGCATCCTTCCCGCGGGGCCAGACCGTTCCATCCTCCCTGAAAAAGCCTCTGTTCGCCACTCCCGGCTGCCACTCTGGTTGCACGAGGAGATGCAGCCGCCTGCCCCAGTCGGGAGCTCGAGGGGCTCGTGCTGCTGCCCCTGCGCAAGGGTGCCCACCTCTTCCACTGAGTTTGAGATCGGGGCCATCCAGTGGATGTCAGAGAACTTCCGCAGCTCCTGGCTGACGACGTCCAGGGCCTGGCGGAGGGCTTCCTCTTGCTGGGGCGAGTCCAGCTGTGTGGGAAAGACTGTTGAGAGGGCGGCCTTGGCACACCGGCACATCCGGCTGCTCCCACCCGGTGCTCACCTGTCTTCCTTCCAGGAAAGCCCGGGTTTCGGTGTACAAGGCCTTCACGCTGACGGAGACTTCCATCGCCATGCTCCGGCTAACCTGCTGCAGCCACCCAGCAGGAAAGAAAAGGCTCAGAGGTGGCTGGCGAGGAGAGCCGTGCCACGGCCTCCAAGGCCGAGGATACTGGTGCAACTCCCCTGGACAGACGCCCAGGGAGCATCCCTGGGCCCCCCAAGCGGGTGCTGCCGACCCCACGCGGGCAGTCTCCACTCTCACCTCCGGAGCCCCACTGTTGCTCTTGCAGGACGAGGCCTCGCTCAGGGCCAGGGAGCTGCTGTTCACAGCATGCGCCAGCTCCTGCTCCATGGCTTTACAGGCCTTGGCAGCCTCACGGATCCTGCAAGGGGGAGAGGGAAATGGCCCATCAGCCACAGACCTGGCACAGTGGGAAAGCCATTGGCAAGCTGACTTCACCCCCCCCATACACTGTGTGAACTTGCGCAGCTGAATTGTCCCTGTTGAGTGCAGGAGAAAGCCAAGGAAAGACCCATCAGGTGCCTGGGGCCAAGGGCCAAGGGCCAAGGAAAGACCCATCAGGTTCCTGGGGCCAAGGGCCAAGGGCCAAGGAAAGACCCATCAGGTTCCTGTAGAGCAGCATTTTTCAAACTTGGCAAGTTTAAGATGTGAATTCTGG